AGCCCCCCCTTTCTCTTCTTCTCAGTTTCCAGACACAAGCGTTCTGTTAAAAATCAATGAGAAATTTCCCAGTAACCTCACTAGGAGCAGGAACGAAGGTTCTTGCAATACCGCAGTCACTCTTAGGCTTAGCTTTGCTGGAATGTGGTGTTGGAAGTTTTTCTTAAAGAGAACGATCTCAGGGAGATGTGATGGAGCAGAGTGCAGGCTGCCCGCGCTCTTAAAGCAGGAGTGAAGCCCCGTCTCAGACGTCCAAGAGTCAGTATACCAGCACAGCCCCAGGCTGACCTGCCACTGCTGAATGCTGCAGAGCAGCTTCCATATCATTACAGGAGTTTTTCAAGCTAGCTTTCTGGTGAATACCTAGGCAAATGCATGCTGTCAGACCCAATTGCTCATGCCAACAGGCACTAGAGGGATTTGCACCATAACCTTTTCCCTGCACAGTGAGGCAGAGTCTTGGTGTTCAATGCAGTAACTATACACCCTTGGGACAGCACTGTAAGAGAGTCCTTGATCTCAGAGCTTAGAGGGCAGAGCTCAGCTACATGAGTAGTGAAAGGTAGCTTTGCTGCTACAGCTGCATCCCCTCTAGGAATATTGCCATGTATAATACAGATTCTCACACTGAGCACATCTTTATCAGACTATCATAAGAGACTAAACAAGCAAGTCGGACAGAGCCACAGGTACTTTTGCATCCAGCAACCTCAATACAGATTCCCCAAAGCCACTATGCCCTACTGCTGTCGCTCCCCAAAGAGTCCACATACAGCAGTGGTTCAGACTTGGCTCCCAATGCATCTGCTCTTGATCTCAGTGGGCAGACTTCTTTACCTCCCACTGGCCCCTCAGATTTAGAGGGACCACGGAGACTTTGCGCTTACTGATGGAGCTGTGAGGTTAACTGAGGAACGAAAACACTCTTCTCTGTTCCTCCAAGTGAAAACTTGTCTGCAGGTAAGTAGCTGCCCGCACTTCAGATTAAATAAGATTTGAGCAGTTCAGGTATTGTGGTAAGCAGCCCCTAACACAGGGTGAGGGAAAGGGTTCAGTTTCAATACCAGGAAACCAGAAAGCTGGATGGCTGATTTGGTTTGGCACATCTTATAACCCTTTGTATCCAAGTCCATCCGTTTCTGAAGACTGTCAAAGCTCATACATTTGGCAATAAGTTCAGAAAAATGAGCAATACAAGTGAGAAAGCCAGGCATACAAGTTATACCCATGTGAAAATATTTGCTTACAGGACAATGAATTTTCTTTAACAGCAGGCTCATTAAAAAATACAAAATTGATGGGGGAAGTGGAAGAAGACAAAGGAGAATCCTAGCAGCTGACATTTTAAATCAATTAGGCAAAACACATATGTAAATAAAAATATCTGCTAGCTGTTACTGGCTGAGGAACTCGTTCTCCATGCAAAAGTTTCCCCACCCCAAAAGTGAAGAATCTGGTATTTCCTATGGAAATTTCCATTCTGATTTTTGGGAGTGCAGTTTGCTACATAAGCAGTTTGAAACAAAGTTTTGACCAGCTGGGGACTCAGAAGAACTGCTGTCACAAGTGTTTACACACAGGCATACATATTACCATGTATTACCTCCCACTCCTCACTCCTTTCTGCGTCATTCACCCAGCCTTTGCAACAGAAGTAAGCATGGTCATGCTCTTGCCCACACTTAGGAAAGTCTTTCATCTTGTCTCATTTTAAAACTCTCCTTAGAGCTAACTGGCTTCTGTTTCTCATCTCCTCAAGCAGCTGTTGACTCGTCTTTTACACTGTTCACCTCGCCAGGGCAAGGACTGGATGTTAGCCACGCTATAAACATGTTTAGCAGCAATGGAAAACCCAAACAGGCTACACACCCCCTCAGCTTTGCTCAGCTTCTCCAAAGCCTATTTCATGCTAGTCTTGCTTAACAAGCAAGAAAAGCAAGCAGCCACTGGCACTTTTACACCATTTTCCTGTGAAGAAGCTACTAGCAAATGAGGCACTCTAGTCTCTTGGCTCTCTCTCAGGCACAATCCAGGAACAGGGACCACAACACTCAACTAGAGAGTCCTTTTAATATCTGTGAATGAGACCGACTCTCAGAGCAGAAACACTAGAGCTGTCTGTTGACAAGGCAGGTACAAAGTGAGCAAGAGAAAGGGCAGTTCCATGGCTACAGTGTGGTGCCAAGAGAGAAAACATTCCGGGTTCTGCTGGGAGCTTCGGAAAGCCATTTCACCCCCTGCCCCTCACCTGCGCTGTGACAACTTGTGTTCTGCCGAGGCCGAGAAACTCAGTTCATGGGTTCAGCACAGGATTCATTTCTTTTGCTTTGGATATATGCATTACTAGCATTATGGAGAATCCCAGATGCCAAAGAAATGAGAATGATTATAAAAGCTTATTGTGTTTCCCGGATAAAAGCAGCACTAGTCATGAGCTGTACGTTACAGCCACAAGTGCTTTCCTTGCGATGAGAGCTTATTCCATTTGCTGCATTCCATTGTTTGGCCTCCCTGAGACAAGTCATCAACTCAAGAAGGTTGGGTGGATGGAAGACCGCAGTTGCCGTTCCTCTTCTTCACTAAGGTAAGCTACCTTCCCTAGTTCCTCAGTTTCTGCAGAGCTACTTTTGTGGTCGTTTCTGTGGGACAGACTCACCCCAGATATGTCTTCCAGGAACCCAGCTTGGCCCTAACCTCCTAGCTGCTGGAGTCTTTAAGTATCTTGACCATACTGAGATACATTGTCAAGGCAAACACGCAGAGGGGACAAGGTGCTGCCCGCGCTCCCCCTGCAGAACCTGCAGCACGTCCAAGCTCCCTCACACATTGCTGCAGAGGAAACTTATGCTAACAGCAGTCCCTGGAGCAAAACCCTTTCTCTGCAATATATTCAGTAGCTCTACAGATGTCTCCTTGTCTTTTGGACACCTAACAACGTGGCTAGTCTGTTTCATACTTGTGAGAATTAACAGGCAGGACTATCCCCTGCAGCATCTCTTCCCAGCATCCCATCTGAAACCTTTATTTCTACTGCTTGTGGCCACCCCATCACCTTGAGGGGCTCAACTCTCCCCAGGGAATAAAAGACCTGACCCCCCACTCACAGATGCCCTCAGGTTCTCAGGGAACAGGAGGAACCAGGAATCACAGCCACTACCTTACCAAAACAGATTTCTCAAAGCAGTCTGCCTGTCAGTGTGATCTGGTGAGCAGAACAGAGACAGAAGCTCACTCATCACATTACAGTGCCTCTGGAGATGCAGCAACCCAGGCTGCTTCCGAGTCAGTCTTGTAGGCAAGCCTCCTCCAAGACCTCAGGGCTGCAAACCCTTTTCTCTAGGGGCCATGGATTTAACAAACGGCTCTCCCTTCACTCCTGCCTGTGCTATCCTCTTTCTTTCTTGTCTTCTTTCCTGCTCTCCACTCCTCTTCTCCTCCTATTCTGTCACCTCTTTTCTTGTCCTTCTTCCAGCAGCCCGCTTCCCCCTTTTTACCTCCCCCCTTCCATTTGTTCGTTCCCTTCATCTCCCTTCTTTTTCCCCATCCTTTTCCCCCCAACCTCCTCCCTCTTGCACTTCAGCACATCTGTTTCTAATCTGAGGCATCTATTGGAAACAATAACCCCTTTTTATTTTAAAATCAGAATGTTAACTGCCTGAGCAAAGCAAAACAGTTGAACAAATTTGACACTATGCCTGGAACAAAGACATTTTGTTCACCTTCTTTTGCCAATGAGTTTGAAGTCCCCCACTAATTCATCACTTAAAAGCGCTGCCCTTTTTAAAAATCAAAAGCACACACTCCAAAAGGAGCACATTTAACCACTACTTCTAAAAAAGGAATCTAGTTTTTTTAAATACCTCTGGTCAACCTGCTAATAATTGAAACAAGACAAGCATCAACAATAAACCTAAGCAGCACTGAAATGAGAGTTTTGCCTAAGTTTTTTCTTTGCAAACCCCTTTCTTTACCTCACCATAAATGATTTTGTTGTGCAGAGAGGGCACACAGAAGTTTGATTAACGCAAAATGAGAAAGCCAACAAGAGCAGACCTACCTAAAAAGAAGATAGAAAGTGCAGACATTCCGTCTCCAGGCAAGAGAGGGACTTTTCCTCCCTTTTTCGTTCTTTCTCCCAGGAACGGCAGGCAGACCTGCACAGAATTCAGAGGAACGCCTCTGGAATGCGCCGAGTGTAATTGCATCCATGTGCCAGAAAAATAACCAACTTCACTGTTTCTTTCCTTTGGCTATTCATCTCCCTGTCCATATTCCATCCAGATTCAGTGAGATCTCTTAGATCTCTGCAGCTGCTAATTCAGGCCCTTGAGTTTCTGGAAGAGAAGAGACAGAGGCAGTGCAGCAAGGAGTTCGCATCTACAGCGGCATAGAACAATTTTGCATGTCTGAAAAGAAAAGGAGAGAAGGAGGGGGGGAAAAAACACTGTGCTCAACGTTCACCACATGGCTGCCTCCCAGAAGAGCCCCTCCCTACCATCAGCTGGGATTAACAGCAAAGACCAGTCATGTGGGTGAGGTAGTGCTAACTCCTAACAGGAAAAATACACATATACTTTTTTAAACCTTTGGAGGAAAACAAGCCGCTTTCTCTAGTGTCAAAACAGTTAAGTTCGGAGGCAGTAAAGACTCAGCATAAAAAAATCGGACTCATCACTCAAGGGCTAGAGACAGATGCTTGGAAAGTGCACACATGCTTTTCCAAGTGATAAAGATAATGTAGGGATGCGAGTTTATTGTCATTTATAGCTAGTAAGCTGCAAAATTGTACTCTTCAGCCTTACTGGAAGACATTTTCAGTTGTCTTCATTTTTCCTTTTGTGACTAGGTCTCTGAGTTCCTACAAAAGAAAAAAACCAAAAAATAAACTTCATCTTTGATTTTATCTGTGATTCACTGACTAGAGAAAGGGCAAAAATCAAACAAACCCGGTATATCTACATGTAGTGACTGCTATGGATGCAACTCATATGGACACATTCCGAGTAGTTTTAAGCCAGCCACAAAGCGGCCTTTGCAGCCCTCCATTGCCATGAAGACAAACCTCTCAGTTACCATAAGAAGGATCAATTGTGGTAGGGAGCAGAGTTTATAAGATGGCTTTGACCATCTACAGGTGTGTTGAACTGAACAAGCCAGCACTGAGCTTCTCTTATGCTCTAGCAAAACGCACATTACTCTTGCTGCTCCCAGCAAAGCCTCCAAGACAGAGATGTTTTACATGTGTTCATATACATGACTTGTGATCTTAGTACTTCACACATACATAGGTCACGCTTACGCTTTTATGCCGATGTCCTAGGATACATCTCTTCAGAAGAGGAAAGTGCTTTCAGCTGACCTTCTTGGGTATGAACCGAAGAGTGACATTGGGAGCCTGAAACTGCACAACAGCTACAAAACCACCCAAGAAGCCAAGTACATATTTGGGTGGTCTTCCCGTACTGATTGCCCTGGCTGTGCAGATAGCAGGAATACAGCTGGTTTCTATCACTATACCTCAGCAGGTTTAAATTGCAACTGCACATTTTTCTTAAAGTAGGTATACATACACAGGAATACCCATGATGCACAGCTACTTGCAAATCAACAGGATTCACCTCTCTCGTGTAACTTGGAGCTGAAGGAAAGCTTTGGAAAGAGGAAAACAGGATAAAAAACCTTTCCTTTAAGAACAGCTAAGAACATATTTCTAATACTGGAGAGGAAGAGCAGGCCATACGCATGACTGCTAGGCTGTGGTTTGAGAGCCCTGACTTCAGTTCCGAGCTCTCACTAGCTCCCTACGTAACCTCATCTAGATCTAGTTTCCATACATCTCTCCTGTAAAAACAGGGATAGGGTGCTGCCCTTACTCTAAGGGTGAAAGTAAAGACAACAATGACTACGAAGTCTACAAAGGGGAACACCATGCTTGGAAGCTCATTGGGACTTCAGTAGCTTAGTTCTTCATTACAATACAAGCTTTCCAACTATTTACTGGAAGACAATACATACTGCCACACTGGACACAGTAGGACCTGAGATTCCAATAGATCCCGTTAGAAAGAAAGAACACAGATGTTATCCTCCCCTCATCCTGTTCAATGAAACAGTCTCATTTGCCCCTCCCAGCTTCAACAGATGGAAACAAAAGCAGCATTTGGCTCCTCCTCTGCAAAAGAGCTACTCTTTCTAGCAGCAGTAAAAAGTTTTGAACAGCATACCCACCTAGCTTAGGCAGATAACAAAAAAGCTGTCATTAACAGGCAAATATCACAGTCCCTACAAAACAGCTATATCTATGTCATCTTCCCATAGAGCAGGAGCTGAATTTCTGCAAACTTTTCCCCCCACGCATCTGACCAAACAGGCTGCTGGTTTTCAAACAGTTGAGCGGATCCAAAAGAACATTGTTGATTCTCAGTGCAGGGCATAAATCAATGGAGAAAAGTGCATTTAATCCCCTCCCCCACTCTCCAGAAGCCAAGCAGCACTGAGCTTGTCTCTCTACATTAGAGGTCTGACAGATGATGTCCCAAGCTATGCTGCAAATACCCAGCATGCTTCTTTGCTCTAATAGAATCAATGCATCAATCGGAAACCAAGACAGAGAGAAGTGTTGTCACCCTGCGCTTGCTCCCCAGCCTGCACCCAAGCCCACAGAGCTGGGATTTTTGAGAGAAACCGAAGGAGGGGGAGGGGTATATTGAGAACAAGTGAGGAGGCCATGCATGCAAAATCTCCTCCTTTAACAACTCCCACCACTCCACGGCTTGCTCTCACATTACATTCCTCCTCAGCAAGCCTCCTCAGGAGCAACTTGTGCTTCAGGGTTCAGTGGGGATTCTCCCTCTGGTGTTCATTGCTGTTATGGCAAGGGCATCCCACTTGTTTGCATAGCAATTCCAGTGAGAGAACAGTAAGGGCATATGCGTGTGTGTATGTGTGCATACATACATATACACACACACATACAGATACCCATGCCACTGCTCGCACCAACACATACTTTCAAGACCTCGGCTGATTGTGTTCTGGGGAAATAACCAGTACCTGCAGCACATTATTCTTACAGAAGAGGAGAATCCTTCTAACAGGCTTGAGAATGACTTAACCCACTATCACACAGCACTGGCACAGCATGGGAGGTATATACCATGCACTGTTCAGTGGGGAGAAGAATGGAGCAGAGAAATTGGAATGTTTGCTGTCACAAGCATTCAAGGAAAAACAACCAGACTAATTTAAAGACTTCGCCAATTACATTAGGCTTACAGGGGTGCCATACAACTGTGGACAAGGCCTGAATTTTAACTCTAGGCTAGGTTCAGATTGCAATAACTACACAAATTACTATTTAAATCCTCATGGGCCAAGAACCAGCTCTTTGATGGCCTTCCCTGATGCCATCTCAGTTTCAGCCCCTCTCATGTTTGCATAAGTAATCCCTGCCAGGAAAATAGGTGCCCTAGAAGCTACATTTCCCTCAAGAGCCTGCCCAGCTTTGGCTGGCTTGCTCCTGCACCTCAGCTGCTGGAGTATACTCGTGGAGGGGATCCTCTCTCCGTGTTCGACTGGTGCTCTTTTTGTAATGTCAGGTTACTCCTTTCACCTTGTTCCCCTTGCCCCAAGGGAGCGGCAGGCTGCCGTCATCCCACATTGTTTGCAAAGCCAGAATCAATCTGGACACAAGAAGCAACCCCTTAAGATGTAGCTGTCCCCCTCTGCTGCAGGGCTACGTGTTGTCTTCTCAGCCCCAAGTGGTGCTGCATATGCCCAGCAACAGCAGCTCTAAAATCCCCATCATCCAAGTAGAAGTCAGAAAGGAAAAAAAAAAACGTTCCTGTTTGGACATGCAGAATAGATAAAAGACAGCTCTGCTGTCACCTTCCCTTTCTGCATTTTTCTCCTTAGGACAGTTGCTGCAAAGCAGTAATGCAAGCTTCTGCTCCTTTGATACCTGCTCATGTTGATCCCCTGATTCGTGGAGACTCCCAATAGAAGCTTATCCTGTACAGCTTAAATGACTTAAGCAATATATTGGTAAAGTCAGTAGGATAATAGGGTTCAGCCGCTAGCATAGCCAGAAAAGCATTTTGAATCCCCTGAGCAAAAACCACGTTCTGCTTGGCTTTGCAACTCCAAATGTGCAAAAAAAAACATGCTCTGAGAAAAGAAAGGGTATTCATACAAAGCAAGCCAGCCTCTGAATGGGAAAACGCAAAACAGACAAGAGACTAAAACAGAGGATAAAACACAACACAGGAATGTCTTTTCACAGTAGGCTTCAAACAGAAACGTTGTTTTAAATCCCTCCAGTACTCAGATATTTGCTTAAAAACTAGATGCTTAAAAAGCTCCCATCCCTCAAAGAGGCTTTAACAAGCAATGATAAAAGCACTATTAGTCATTTAACACTAGCAGAAAAAGTCTCAGTTCAACAAAACTTAACGTTCTGCTGTCAGCAGAGGCACATCCACTTGAAGACAGAAATAAACAAACAAGAAGTTTCTTATCTTTTTCTCACTATTTGAAAAGTCCACGTACATGCTTCTTGTTACACTAGCACTCTTTCTTTGATAGGACCAAGCCTTTGCTACTTGCTCAATAGACTTACTCTCCATATAAATGCATAACTCAGCATATTCAGTATTGACTCCTGTGAATAAAAAAGACAAAAAGTTTCCTACAGCAAAACCACCACTTTTAAGAACGATTAGCTTCATGCAAATCTTAAAACATTCAACAGTTGAGTCTAAAACATTTATACTGGTTTCCTGACCTTACAGGAAAAGCAAGCTATATTAAGTAAGCTGTCATTTTTACCAAAGACAAAACAAAGTTTTTTGTAGCACAAAACTTCTGCTCTCAAGCAAGAGCTAATCAACTTCACTTAAAAGAGAAAATATACCCTTACCTCAAAAACTAAAACCAAGCCTACCAAAACATATCAACACCCAAACAAACAATAAAGTTCCTTTACCTTCAGCACTTGCTCTACACTTAAAAAAAACAAAAAACAAAAAAACCCCCCAAACACCCCCAAAAACAAACAACAAGAAAAAAAAACAAAAAAACCCCTAAAGTTAACACAGGAATACTAGATTTTATCCCATTTCCTCTAGAAAACCTGCCTATGAAACTGCATGCTTTAACTCCCCCCAACAGGATTGGCTAATTGGCAAGTTAATTGTATTCTGATCACAGGTGTGAAGCATATGAGATTAAAAAGGGCCGGTCAGAACACAAAAGGTTAGAAAAGTTGGAGAGAAACAGAAGTGTTTTGGCTTAAAGTAAATTTTTTTTTTTTTTAAAGTCTGAGGTTAAGTTGGAGTTGTGTGTGTATGTATATATATATATATATGCTTGTATGTATGTATACTTTGTAGGAGAGTGAAATAAATTGTCTGCAAGGTAAATCTATAAGCACATAACAGGTAGCAAAGGACAGAA